CGGCGGGCGCCAGCTCGGCGGCCAGCGCCCGCAGCGCCGCCTGCAGCGCGTCGTCGGCGCACAGCCGGCGCCCGCGCAGCGCCTCCTCGGCGCGGCGCGCGCGCTGCAGCCCCGCGCAGATGTTGCCGAAGGCGAGCGTGGCCGCCCGCACCTCGCCGGCGCCGTCCACCCGGAACAGGAACCCCGCGTTCACGACGGCCACCGCGTTCTGCGCGCGCGCCATCACCTGCGAGCGGTTGGGAGTCCGGACGCCCTTCGTGTGATGACATCGTTTGTCCGTCGCGTCCGGCTCGTAAAGGAACGATTATCACGTGAACGTTTTAATGGTTCCGAAATCGGTGACATTGAAATATTATATTATCTAATGTAGCCGAGTGCAAAACGACATTGCCCATTATATAGGCAACTATGAAGAGAGCGTTTCGTGTCCTCGTCCTAATCGTGGCGTCCGTCGAGTGTTACAAATTGAGAATACTCAACATTACCGAATGCCGCGTTCCCGACCCGCCGATGATGAAAAACGTTCGAGAACAATGGTCCGGGACTATCGAACCGTACACCGAGCGGGACAAGATGTTGGTCAGAGGCAACGTAACGGTGTTGCGCGACGTCCGCTTCTACGCGCGTTTCAAAGTGGCCGAGCGGCAGAAACGATACAACAACATTATCACTTTCAAAGGGATCACTTGTCGCAACGTAATTGCAAAAATGTTGATGCAGTTCACGAATATAATGTACGACCCGAACGAGTGTAAAATTCTGAAGGGCAACTACGTGTTCAAGGTAAACAAACTGATATTCTCCATTTTCATTTCACCAGTATCGACATTAAGACCTTACTTAACTGTCTCTTTATACTTGTCACTCGAGTGCAGATCAACCGGTCACTCACTGCTTAAACATCATTTGGGCATTGTCAAAGCAATCAAGAACATGGTCCTCGTTTCCTTGAATTAGTACCATTCAAGATGCCGATTAGGTCGATCCGAGTGACATCTCAACCGACAGCAATTCATATCGAGCTGTTTATTCATACGGGCCGTAGAGGTCAAGTGTTTCTTTTAAGTATGTATATACATACATACATATAAAATGCTAATGTCGAATAAACGAATTTTTTTATGCGGAATTTGAAAGTAGTACTTTATTTGGTAAAAGGCAAACACAGCTATGTATGTATAGCCAACTATACAGCCAGCTTCACGCATGTAGCTGAGTGTGCTGTTGCCTTTAGGATAAGTCTTAGTACTACATCAACCTAAAAATGTGGCCAACTCTTGGGCACATGTCTAGCCAGCCTTCTAGGGCAGTCCTCCAGATGAACGGACATGTCTAGGAAATTTTTATTCTTTTTTGACGAGATAAAAAGCAAAAGCAAATATTACTTTTAGCCGGAAGTAGTTATGCACTATTAGATGCATCTATTTAATATTTTTCGTATATGAAATGTTATTTTTGGATAGAATCTGGACGTCGGCAGGATCGAGCAGTTGGTGACGTACGTCCCCACGCAGAAACTCGGCTACAAGATGTGGACATTCGCGCTTTACCACGACGAAGGCTCTTATATTTGCTTCGATATAAGTGTACTTTATGAGAGTTGAATAAATTGTTTGCCGACACGCAGTCCTCGACTCAACAGTACTAAATTAAAATGACTGTCTTTAAATCACCTTTCCACACACTACACTGCGACAGCACAATGGCACTTTAAAGACGTCTAAAATTACACCACATTCTAATATTTTTAGTATTATCTCCACAATAGGAGCCCGAAATGGTTAAACCAGCAATTTCAGTTTTTTCCAAAAAGTTTACTTGGACGGAAATTTCACTTTAATGGGAATTTTAATTTGGTGGAAATTTCACATTGGTGGAATTTTCTCTTGTCATGATTACGAGGTAATAGCTAAAAAAAGAAACAAGATTATACATATTTACAAATGGAATGTAGGGGTAATAAAGAAAGAATAACAGAAATATGAGTGGTGAAGTATGCGGAGTTAGGTGAGCGGTGTAGGGAGTGAGTGTGAGTGAAAATGAATAGTTGACTCAGAATTGGAGGCGTCTGTCCTCGAGCTACAACTCGAAGGCAGAGGTGCAGGACCAGAGGATGCGGACCAACACGGCGAAAAGGCGGCTCCGAGACTCGAACAGTAACTGGGAGACGCTGTTAAGGACGAAGCAGGTTCAACACTAAGCAAGAGACATGGCGTTCCTGGCCGGTAAAGGAACAAAGATCGACATTCGTAGGCTGGCATTTGGTGTCCTACTGAAGGTAGTGGTGGTCTGATACGGCGGCTGGTACTCACTCGAATAGACCCTTCAGGAGATTTGTATCGCGTGTTCAGGTCGAACAGCAGGGATCCGTGGCCTTTAGGAGTAAGGAAGACGTTGTGAGACTTCAAAACGGGACCTTTATAACTTTTAAAGCTTCTGTCTCAAAAATTTATGTCGATTACGAAATTGGTTGGCTTTTGGTGGAATTTCATAATCAGCTGTTTTCAAATCCTAGTATAATTCATAATTCATTTATTTATTGAAATCATGTCGTTGACATGTACATTTTCTAAAATTGAGTACCTAGACATGAACCCTGGTAGGATACCGCGACTTAATAAACAAAAAGCTAGTATGAAATCCAATAAACATAATCAAACTAAAAGTAAACGTTGAAATGAAATGAAATTGAATTAATTAGCTTAAAATTATTATATTGATGATTAATTACATTTTACATATTTTTAGTTAATTTATTATCAACTAAAAATATGAATTATTATTATAAATATATCAAACCATTTCATTTGATAGAAGCCTTTTAATAATAAAAAATCTTTAATAACATGTTTCAATTTTTCTATATTGTTTTCGGTCTTTATATGTTCTGGTATTTTATTATAAGTTTTTACCGCCTTTACAATTTATGTATTTAATTTATATATAGTATGTAATTAATGTATTCTTAGAGCAAATCTGCTATCAATAATATTTTAAGAATTGCATTTTTATCTTAAGTTTCACCAACCTCAGATATATCTCAAATACCACTATAATTTTTATTTCTATACAACATTAAAAATAGCCTGATGTAGTATGTAAGAATAGACCACCGCTGGGCAAAGGCGTTTCCCTGATCCCTCCATGCCCCGATCCTGAGCTATTTCTATATTTGAGTTTCATTAGTTTAGGCTACCAAATGACTTCTTAATCAATAGCCTCCTGAAGACAGCTGCTGACGGGAATGAGTGCCCAATTATGCGGCACTTAATACATAATACTCAATCCCTGGTAAAATATAAGTACTAATATAGTTTTAAGTCTGTGCCTACTAACATTTGATTGGATCTCAGTTGTCTCAATAAATAAAATTTTATTATTATTAATATTAAAGAGTAGTATCTGGATATAGTCAAACACAGCGACGCATCAAATTTGTATGCTCGTTCGAAGCCGGATCGAAATTTTCAGTTTTACCACTTGGGCCCATCAGCATATTAATATTATCGTCTTTGGGGTAGCTCGAGCGACATAATGCGACATGCGTTTATTAATCACATTTCGCTCTTTTAGGCATAAGACAACACACATCGGAAACTCCAGTGCACAACTGGATGTCATATCTCTTTACAAGTAGGTTATTATTATAGGTATTCTCCATCGGTTATCCTGTAAACTTATAAGTTATGCGGAGAATTAACAGCACGCTTTCAAATAGTTATTGGCCACTAATGCTATGTGATAAGATTTGCAAAAGACCATTACGACCGCTCATAGTACTCCGGGCAGACGGAGGGAGGTTATTGATGCCGATGGCCAGACTGACACTCACTTAGGAAGCTACATTTGCATGTATCAGCTGAGAGACAGTTAAAGCTTGTTGCAGCGCTTTGACTCTTCCAGTAGGTTGGTAGGACATTGGCTTTTGTGCCGTCAGCCGTCCATTTTAAAAGAATTTATAATGAATTTCATAAAATTTTATTATAACATATATAGAAAGAAACTCACATAAATATGTTTTTAATTATGTGGTTTTAGCCATTCCACAAAAAATTGGCCAAATCCGCTTATAATTTTGCATGAAATAGCGATTGTCCATCGTGATAAAAAAGCGCTTTAAAAAGCCATTACCTGTTGCACTACTTATTAAAATTATTGCATTAATATATTTGCTGAAATGGAGCTCACACATTTCGTATTCATAGTTTTATTTCTCGAAATCGATGCGTACAATTTAACGCTCCTGAGCTTCAAGCCTTGCGAGAACCCTGAGCCCCCAATGGCAGAGAACTATGCTGACCATTATATGGCAACAATTGACACTTTTCAAGTAGGGCACCGACTTTTACTAAGAGGGAACATTACCATCCTGCAAGACATTAGTTTTCAACTTCGCTTCAAGTCAGGCGTTGAGAAGAAATCAAGCGTAATATTCAATATAAAGTTTGAAGGAATCAGCTGCAACAACATCGTGACTCGAGTGATATTAAATTCAGTAAATGTGAAGTACGACCCAAAGACCTGCACACTGTTGAAAGGCAACTACAATTTTGACAATTTCGACCCTCTGACGGTCGGGAGAGTGATTAATTTCGTGCCGGCACGGGAGCTCGGCGTCAACGTGTGGTACTTCGGAATGTATTCCAAATTAGGCACGTACCTTTGCTACGACATAAAAGTGTTGATAGCCAAGCACTGATAATAAAAATATTGAAAAGAAATGTCTTTCATTTTTAACCGACTTATTATGTTCTTTTTTTATATGTATGTTACGAGATAACTCCGGTATTTGTGAACCGATTTTCATGATTCTTTTTTTGTTGGAAAGGGGGTATTTCCATAGTGGTCCCATTTCATTTTGAAGAAAATCATCCACCTCGAAGGGTGGCTGTTCACGCATGAAGATTAATTTTTATAAATAGCGCCTAACTTTAATTTAGGAGCAATTACTTTAATGGTTGATTTTGCTATTTCTCCAATTCAAGGCGTTTTTCTCTCGATATACTTTGAGTAGTGAGAACCGATTATTATTATCTCCAGTGTCAAGTCCTGTATAGTGGCGAACTAGGGGATATTTCAATAAAACTTAGCAAATAAACGTAATTCCCCGGGCTTTTGAGATCGGTTTTTTTAGTACTTTGTACTGAGATTATTTATATAAAATTACATGTAGAATCTTTGAAAAAAATACAATTCAAATTTCATAGATAAGTCAATTTCTCTTGAAATCGTTAATTGATTAAATAAATACTACTATTGCATTCTTAATGCAGATTGCCCTCAGAAGATTGGGTAAGAAACTAGGGTTTATAGGAAATGAAATATTTTTTCTTTCATTTTTTATTTCAGGTCCCAAAGTCGGTTGACTGGTTGTTGGTTGTAAAGGGCCCGATTGTTTGTTTGAAAAAACAAATGTACGCGATTTAGTTCCGATCAAATAGTTTCATTTCCTATGTGTAACAATCGCGAAAACCTAGGGACTCGAACTCCAGGGGCTTCTCTTCGTGTTTTTTATTGTTTAGATTTTTTTCTCTTTAAATATACAGTACATTGTGTAGTTCATTATAATAGTGAACACAACATAAATTACCAACGTTCGATTAAAAAATATGAATAATAACTACATAAAAAAAAACAGAATTACTGAATCTGAGTTTTCAGAACGCATGAAGTGCTTTGTACACATTATTCATTGCTGAGGCAAAAGACCCCAAAATATATCAAATTAATATAACAAAAAAATTGAGTGAGGGAGAGAGAGAGAGAGAGATTTTTATCGTTACGTAAAACGTTTTTATAACTTTAAATTGCCCAACTTGCAAATTGCCCAAGCGCCTGCAATTGACGCCGTAAACACCGCCCATTGCTTAAACACGCATAAACATAGTACGCAAGTACATGTATGATGTTTACCAGCTTAATCACGAGTGAAAAACAAAAATCAAATGCGATTTTAAATAGATTTTGATGATTCTCATGAAATCGATCTGACAAACGTGTATCATAAGGCAATTACCCATAGGCATGCTTGTACACTGATGATTCCGTCGTCATATCGTTAGTTACGCCTCAGCGCGTCCGGAGAGCTACATGTCCACCATTGGCGGAGTGACTGGAGTGCACTTGACGAAAATGTACGTGCAATTAATTCTATTTACAACCGTATTGATGTGTGCGAAAAACGCACTGTGCATATCTCACAAAACAGAACTGAAAAGCATAACCGTATGCGACAATCCAGATCCACCATACCGCATCCCGAACCCGGTCGACTTTTCGATAGAAACGTATAAGAAATATCGAAAAACGTTAATAAAAGGCACCGTTAACGTTACAGAAAACGTAGACAATTTTATAAAATACACTTCGCAAACATTCGAAGATGGGAAGGTGAAAGTTTTATTGAAATTGGATAAGGTGTCGTGCAAACACGTTTTAACCAAGATAATTTACGCGGCAGCGCATTTAAACTACGACATGGACTCTTGTAAGGTGCTAAAAGGTAATTATTCCTTCGACACCATCGACGTGAACAAGCTGGACCAAGCGAACCGGTTCGCGCCGCGGCTGGTGGGCGACAACGAGTGGCGCGTCGTGTTCTACGGCAGCAAAGGGGCCTACCTGTGCCTCTCCTTGGTGGTGGAGATGAAGGTGTAACTTCAGCTACGTCTGGTGCAATGTCTCCATAGGTGTGTTTTAAAAGCATTAAACTGTTGATTCCGAACCGATGGACTTTCTTTTGAATTAATCACAACAACTTATTATACGTCCCACTGATGGGCACGGTCTCCTCAGAGAATAAGGTTCAAGTTATATATAGTCCGACACGCTAGCTCAATGCTGGTTTTTTTAGTGGGGTAGGCCCGCCAGTCTGGAGGGAGAGTCCCCACATAACCCCTGAGTCTCCCTGGGCTCAGGGGTATCCATAAAGATTTCCCACCCGTCAAAAAAAAAAAAAAAACCTCAATGCTAGTTTCCGACTTTTTACGTTTTCCAAAGATGAACTTTCTCCGATACGCAGATTTGATCACGATGATTTCCTTCATCATTACCGAAACTTAGAACGTACGTAATTAAAGCCACAGGTACATGCGTTGTAATAGTAGAGCTCCCTAGTTCATCCAAGGAAGTACTGCTACCTTGCCTATTTCTGCCGCCAAGCATTATTGCTTCCGATTTTGAAAGGTAACACATGGGATTTGTCAACTTACGTCTCAGGGTGACGGGCGCAGTGGCAGTGCCCCTCCGATCTTTGAGATTTAAAGCTCTGAGGGACACTGCAACCGTTATGGACAGGCGTGTCGCTTACTGCCAGGCGCATGGCTTGTTTGGCCCATCGCTTAGTGCCATTAAAAAAAGGTGCACTCGCCTTGAAACCGAAAGCAAAGAACCATCGGATCGGATGCCTAACGTGAGCGGCCGGGGTAAGACGTAGTGTTTGCTAACTGTAAAACGCTTTATCTCACACAGTTCCTTCTTAAAGGACATTGTGTGCTAGAAAAAGCGATCGATCGCAACAATAGAAAGTAAATTGACCTTATAAGTGCGCACAAGGTTGTCGGCGCCGAGGGGCGGCAGCTCCACCTTGCTGATCAGCTTGCCGGTCAAGTCCTCCAGCAGGAAGTCGGCCGGCGACAGCTCCTTTTTTTCTAGCAAGCTGTTCACTGGAACAATATCATGAGTCAGCTTCTTAAAATACCATTTTCTGAAAACGTAAACGATGTATCTAATATACATTATGAATAATCTCAGTACAGAGTACTAAAAAAACCGACCTCAAAAGTACATGGAATTACGTCTATTTGCTAAGTTTCATTGAAATATCCCCTAGTTCGCCACTATACAGGACTTGATACTGGAGATAATAAAAATAGGTTCTCACTACGACACTACTCAAAGTATATCGAGAGAAAAACGCCTTGAATTGGAGAAATAGCAAAATCAACTAAATAATTGCTAAAAGTAATTGCTCCTAAATTAAAGTTAGGCGCTATTTATAAAAATGAATCTTCATGCGTGAACAGCCACCCTTAGAGGTGGATGATTTACTTCAAAATGAAATGGGACCACTATGGAAGTACCCCCTTTCCAACAAAAAATAATCATGAAAATCGGTTAACAAATACCGGAGTTATCGCGTAACATACATACAAAAAAAAAACATACAGTCGAATTAAGAACCTCCTCCTTTTTTGAAGTCGGTTAAAAATTAAATCGTATATGAATGTCACATAAATATAGCAAAATTTTGGAGATAAATTATTAAAATCATGAAAATCGGTTAACAAATACCGGAGTTATCGCGTAACATACATACAAAAAAAAAGAAAAAAAAAGAACATACAGTCGAATTGAGAACCTCCTCCTTTTTTGGAGTCGGTTAAAAAGAAGACGACTTCGAAAATTCGTGGAATAATATCTATTTACCAAGTTTTATTAAAATCGGTTACCGGAAAGTGCGCGAAACCGGATTCGTCCCCTAGTTGGCCACCCTTAGAGGTGGAATATTTTCTTCAAATTCAAATGGGACCAATACTGAGGTACCACCCTCTTTCCAACAAAAGGAGACTCATCAAAATCGTGTTACAAATGCCAGAGTAATCCCGTAACATACACAAAAAATACAATCGAATTGAGAACTTCCTTTTCTGAACTTGGTTAAAAATAATGCAAATCTAAAATTTAAACTCACTTTTTAACCGACTTCAAAAAAGGAGTTTCTCAATTCGACGGGTATCTTTTTTTTGTATGTATGTTACGTGATTAGTCTAATTTGTGAGCGGGTTTTGACGATTCTTTGTTTTTGTTGGAAAGTGAGGACCTCAGTAGTGGTCCCATTCAAATTTGAAGAAAATATTCCCTCTCTAAGGGTGGCAAACTAGAAGGTGAATGACTGTTGAAGTCGGTTTTTTTAGTACGCTGTACTGAGATTATCCTATATTTAATAGTGGATAGTGAAATTTGCAAGTAAACGTCTGTTTAAATTAATTTTAATTTGAAACAGTAAAACCTACGTATACATAGTTATATGTGCTTGTGCGTGCGTGTGTGTCTCGCGTCATAAATAAAAGTGCACGGGCTTTACCTACGGTGATGGTGGCCTGCACGGTATCCAGGAGCAGAAACACGTCTGAGGGGAACTCGGGGTGCTTGTTCTTCATTGCCAGATTGCCGCCGATGGTGCCGATCTGGTTACATCATACTCTTTCGTTACTTTGTGTCCTTTTTGGCGCCATGACATCATTATGATATGCAACTTTCAATATTACGATTGTTAGAAATACGATGTTTAGATAAGATACGCTGTTCTTGGCATTTATAATATACACAAAAACAACATTAAGTGATTACTCTTTGAAGAAAAACAAAAGTAAATTGAATGTCAATTTTCCTGTACCAATTCCACGTACGTATTTATAAAATTGTCACCACGAAGAGACAAGAATATACAGAATACCTAATCTCGATCGACGTACTAACATTTACTAAAGTGCCATACTTTGTAATGCAATACTTAGTAATAATTATAATGAGCCAAGCAATCACATAATTACCTGGTCTCATACCCGGGAATTCCCCGTATTATGAGCATCTGGGGAATACCAGTCCAGGCAATCCAGAACACCCAGAGCAGAACCTATTTAAAAAATTTGCTTCCTTAAATTGAGTGTCCCGGGAATCGGACCCTGGACCTACATCATCATCTAGCGCTCACAGTGCTAACCGGTGCTGGTAAGCATCGAAGTTGATGTATATGAAAAAATACTTAGTACTGCATCTCCTTCGGTGAAAATGCAACTGGCAGGTACGCTTTGTTCAAATAATATGTAGTCTTTTTTTATTAATTTGGGATAGAAATCGATTTCTATTATGATAGAAATGCCCGTAGTAAGATTTATATGGTTGACAAAATCCTGCGCAACTTACATTTCTGACCGACACGTGCGCGACGAGGTCGAGGTGCTGGTGGAACTCCTCTAAGTAGCGGAAGTCGCTGTCTGTCTGCCACTTCTTGCACTGATCCATCATCTGTCGTTGATACGTACGTTTTAGGAACGAGCAATTTCGCGTAAATAATTTACTCCGAAAGACAAACAGTCAAACTTGAAAACCTTTCTGAAGTTCAATCCCGAACTTTAGAACGGTGCACTGAGAAGAGGTATTCGAATGGCCAACTATAGACAGTCTCTTCCTGACGGTTACGTCTCCGGGAACCATGTGAAGGAAGCACATGGAAACTGTCCGAAATCTTCTTGAACCGGTCCTTCCGGGAAGGCCGCTCCCTCCACTAAGCGTGGACTTTCAAGTAGAGCAGCAGTAGCATGCCCGATGGCATGGAATGATGATGTTGATGATGAATGATGAGATGGAAAAGTACGGAAGGAGCGAGTACGCGAAGGCCTCGTGCACCCACCTCGGTGAGCGAGGCCGCCGCGCCGAGGCAGAGGTTGGCGTCGCGCCGGCACTCGCGCAGCTCCTCCACCGAGGCGATGTCCACCTGCACGCGCGCCGCACCTGTCCAGAACACGCCTGTCGCCACCGCGTTACTAACGGGCTCCAGCTACTTCCACGCTACTATTACTAGCAATATGGGCTGCGATGGTTTCCTTCGAAAGCTGCAGGTTATGTGTTGAGTTATAGCTGCGGCAATACAATGTCTTCCTTTGCAATATTTACGTATAAATATGTCTTAAATCTTTCAAATTAATGTATTTCTTCTTTTTATTTTTAAGTGTATCGTTGTGTTCTATACATTATGCACAGGGTCAAGAGAGCGTCAAGCTTGACACATAAAGCGTTTCCTAACCGGGTTAATGCGATTCCATGTCGGTAAAAGTGGTCACTCCTCAAGATTTAATTTCAACTCTATACCGCCCGAGATAGAACGGTCCAAAGTGAGAAGCTCTATGTCCTCTTTGCTGTACCTACGTAATCTTTGGTTATGTAGGTATTATATCTTATATAGATAGATGTGTAAATAACTACATACTTATATATATAACTAGATGTGTTTGCCTGTTGTAACAAAGACGTTTGAGGCAACACTTGTCTTTGCGATTATTCAAAATAAATGAATATTCTCAGTTTTGACGTATTTTGAATAAAACTAGTCGCCGTGTCTGCTATAAATATGAATATGGCTCATTGATTGAACAGAGTAACACGAGCTTCAGCACAAAAGATGTGATATAGAAGTTGAACCAAAAATACGCTGCCTGAATAATTTGCCCAATGTTTAGTCAGGATATCCCATACGAAATTTTATAACAATTTTTTTTTTATATGTACCATCTCAACATGTTATGTTTCAATTGAAGATTTGTATCTATGATTACTACTGTTTTGTAATTAGTCATTTAGATTTGCACTTTGTTTATCCTGTATTGATTCACTCACACTTTTATATCGTAATAAAAAAATATTATAATATTGCAGATATCATCTAGGACAAAAATATACAATAGATGCCCCAAATACAACATTTGTTTATTTATAGAAACCAAATCAGGACAATGGCATTGATATCTAAGAACTACTTTATCTGATACACGATGTGATATCGATAAAAAATTTACCTTTGAGTTCTTCGTCATCGAAGGTGACTAATTTTATGTAGTATTTAACAAGTCGAGCCCACCTGTCTTGCATCAGTTACCTTACGGCAGTTAACCGCTTGCAACTGTAGCGTCTTGAACCCTATTCAATCTACATTTGCGAACACTCCAATTATTTACCATGATTACCGTAGGGATTATCGGCATTGTCCTTGTAGCTTTGTACCTGTACGGCACTAAAAACTTCAATTATTGGACAAAGCGCGGAGTGAAACATGATAAACCAGTGCCCTTCTTCGGCACGGACATGAAGAGACTGCTATTGCAACGCAGTGTCGTACAAATGGCGACTGACGTCTACCGAAAATACCCGAACGAAAGATTCGTGGGTTACTACCGTGGCAGCATACCGGAACTTGTAATTCGCGACCCTGATCTTATTAAGCAAGTAATAATCAACGACTTCGCCTACTTCTACAAGCGAGGCCTCTCACCGCAGCACAATGTCATCGAGCCCTTGTTGAGGAACCTGTTCTTCGCCGACGGCGATATGTGGAGGTTGCTCAGACAACGCATGACACCGATGTTCAGCAGTGGCAAATTGCGGGCGATGTTTCCATTGGTATGTGCACGTGCTGAACGACTGCAGACGTCCCTAACAGCGGCCACTAACGACGGTGCAAAAACTCTGGACGCCCGTGACATTATGGCGCGTTACACTACAGACTTCATCGGCTCGGTCGGCTTCGGCCTTGACCCGGATTCTCTTAACGACGAGGACTCAGCGTTCCGCAAACTGGGAGCAAGAATATTCGACGTAACTCTTCCCCGCGCTATCATTTCAATTTGCAAGGCAATCCTCCCCAATTTATTCAAGCATTTCAAGTTCCTCGGGCAGAAACTTGAAGATGACATTTTGGGTTTGGTGAATCAGATCATGCACCAGCGAGAATACAAACCGTCTGGTCGCAATGACTTTATAGACCTGTTGCTGGAACTAAGGGAGAAGGAGCACATCGCCGTGGAATCGCTGGAGCACGTAGGGCCAGATGGCAATCCTGGTTTGGTGCACCTTGATCTTGACGACAAACTCCTAGCTGCGCAAGCGTTCATTTTCTTCGCTGCCGGTTTTGAGACTTCGTCATCAGCTACAAGTTTCACTTTGCACCAATTGGCATACCATCCTGAGGTGCAGAAACGCGTGCAGGCTGATATTGATCGCGTACTTGCCATGCACAAGGGACAAATTTGTTATGATGCCATCAAGGAAATGAAGTACTTGGAATGGAGCTTTTTGGAGGCGATGCGAATGTTTCCATCAGCAGGTTACCTCAGTCGGCAGGTGGCGCGGCGTTACACGCTACCCGGAACTGACGTCACACTCGACGAAGGAGTCAAGATTATGATCCCGTTGCAGGCGTTGCAGAACGACCCCCAACACTTCGACAACCCCACAGAGTTCCGCCCAGAACGTTTCTCGCCAGAAGAAGTAGCTCAAAGACACAAGTTTGTCTATCTACCTTTTGGAGATGGGCCACGATCTTGTATAGGTAAAATCAAAACACTAAATCCTTGCATACAAAACCTTATTCCAACAACCAGGACACCAAAGGTGCAATAAATTTGTGATCAAAATCCGACTAAAAATATTGTTACAGCTTAAAGTTGTATTGTATTCAGCAATTGTTACGTATAAATAGACATTTGTAACATGTGCTCTCCGTTTTATTCACAGGTGGTCGTTTAGGTATGATGCAGTCGCTAGCCGGTCTAGCAGCCGTACTTGCCCGGTTTACTGTGACTCCAGCCGAAGAGACGCAACGCGAGCTGGTCCCGGATCCCAAGTCTATCATAGTCCAGAATGTGATGGGTGGAGTTCCGCTTAGATTCCAGAGAAGACAGGTGCATAAGGAATTTGAACGTTGCTCTGGAAGAGCTTATGGACAGTAGACAGATCTGATCCCGTCATAGACTCTGTGAGTCTTTTGACAAATTAAAGTTACTAGAAGATGTGAGATCAACGTCTCGAAGAGAAAAAACCCTCTATTAAAACTCAGTATCTTTATATAGGTTAAATTAATTTATTATCTAGAATTATACTAATTTATAAGTTATTAAATAATAAATTTTGTTTCATAATATAGGGTTATATTACCACGTGATTCACTTTTTCACGGGATTATTTTCAAATAACTTCGAGATCCACTGGTGCGTCTCTCTCGAGCATAGTGGGAATAAAAATACAATAGAGTAGTAATGGCATCTCACACCTAAATTGGCTATTTTTTAATTTAAATGACCACACTCTACCATGGAAATAGTATACATACATATTACCAGTGGTCGGAAAAAGGTATTCCACATATTATATAGATACATGTATAGATATAGCTACGAGGAGCGACATAGAGTTGTTAAAACCATCAAATATTAATTAACTAGGTACTTTTTTCGAATTCCGGATTTAATGATGAAAGAAACTCCTCTCTTTATTCTATTTGTGAAGATAAATAGCCGTACAAGGATAAGGCCGTAAAAAAATGGCACTTTTTCGTCTTGTGTTCAGCAGTTTTTTTTATAATAGTATTAAAATAAACATTTTCTAAATTTTTATTAAATTGATATTCAATATAGATATATTTTTTGTGAAATTACTCCACTAGTTTGTTATATTTATTAATACAAAGATCAAACACTCAGAAAAAACTCCTTCGACCCGGCCGGATTCGAACCGACGTCTTCTAGCTTACCGTGCCAAACGCTATACCAACTAAGCCACGGAACGAACCAGCGAACCTCACGAATTTTTATATGTGCTTGCGTCGTGTCGTTGTATTTGGTTTTTCAACGACTTTTTAGTCGTAGCGCCATCTATGAGAAATCTATGAAAGATTTTCTTAAGTTCCAGTAGCAAATGTCGCCGTTTCGTTAATGTGATCGTCTAATAATAATAACATCGTCACATGTAGATTCTATTAAATATTTCATGTCAGTAGGTAGGTATATAGTGTCAATTTTATTATAACAAATGATTATTTAATTTAGTTTTTGTACATTACTGTATATAAAAAGTCATTTATTTATAAAACGCATTTTTCAGAAGGTATTTTTTAAAGAGGTTTTCAAATTTATTCGTATTCTTTTCATTTTTTATATGGTTCGGTACAGCATTATATATTTGAATTGTCATAGAGCGGGGCGCGGACCGGTACAGGCTTAGAGTTGTAAACGGTAGTTTTAGTTGGTTTAGACCACGATTGTTTCGTTTTATGGTTTTAAAAGGAGAATACAGTTCAAAGTCTTTGCGTACGAATTTTCAACATTCCAAAAAATAAATTGAAGTTAACGTTAGAATTCGATGTTTTGGGAAGTGCGGTTTACATGATTCTGTTTGGTCGAGATTAACTAGTACTCTAATGCACTTCTTTTGAAGTATTTGTAATTCATCCATATTTGCACAGTTTCCTCAAAGTACTATGCCTTACGCAAGTCTAGAGTGAACGTAGGCGTAATACGCTGTTAGAGCCATTTTAAAATTTGTTTATTTCTTTAAGTTGAAAAGGGCATATACAAATGATGATACGTTTTTGGGAAGTTTCTTTACATGAGCTTTCCAGCTGAGGTTGCTGTTCAATTGGATTCCAAGAAGTGTGGCTGTTTCCAATTTTAAGTGCACAATTATTGTACTCGTAGTGTAGCTGTAAAGGGACTTTTTGGTGTGGCCTGAACTGTATTGAAGTGGTTTTCTTTAAGTTTAATCTTAAATTATGATCATTTAGCCAATTTATAATTTTACAGGTATATTATATAATTCGTTCGTTGTTTCACAAGGGAAAAAAATGGATATATCGTCAGCAAATAAAGTGCAATGATTGTCAACTATTTTAGGGAGATCGTTAATGTTGAGTGAGTGTGTGCGTACACCAGGAAGAGGATACACCCCAAGACGCTACCTTGTGGAAGAGAGTTTGTCATACGTATTCCCTCTGAGCGCACATTCCGTATCAACCCAGTCTCAAAATTTGTGTTTTGAACCTCCACGTATTGTTCACGGTTTGTGAGATAAGATTTGAACCATTTGTATGCTATGCCTTAAATCCCGGTATTGTAGTTTGTTTAAAAGAATTCTATAATCAACTCTATCATAAGCCTTACTCATATCTAGTAATAATCCTAACGCATATTTCCTGGCGTTAAGTGTATCTAGTATATTACGAACATATTTATATACTGCGTAAGTTGTAGAGAGCTTTTTTCGAAAACCACTTTGATTGTTGTCAAAAACATAATAAAATTTTTGATGACGTTGGAAGTAGTGCAATGGGTCGGTAATTATTTGTATCTGTTAATTCGCCCGTTTTATGAACGGGTTTAATGATGGATATTTTTAGGCAATCGGGAAAAATCCCTTCTTTAAAGCTCTGATTAAGGTCTTTGTTAAGGACCATTGCGAAATAGTGTTGTTTGCTGATGACACATCCTTGATTTTTAAAACAGACAGACATGACAATAACTATGACCGTATTAATGATACCCTCTCTAAGGTAGTTTATTGGTTTAATGCTAACAATTTATTGCTTAATGCCAAGAAGACAAAATGTGTTAAATTTGAATTACCTAACGTAAAATCGACTAGTCCAACCATAGAAATAAACGGAGAAAAGTTAGACCTTGTTAATAAAGCAGTCTTCTTGGGAGTGACCTTAGATAGTAAACTTCAGTGGTTTCCACATATATCGTGCCTGGCCAGCAGATTAAGCTCCGCTGCATACGCAGTCCGCAGAATACGTGAGCTTACCGATGTTAGTACTGCTAGACTAGTTTACTTTAGTTACTTCCATAGTATAATGTCCTACGGGATTCTCATGTGGGGTAAAGCGGCGGATATTCAAACCATATTTGTATTGCAAAAACGAGCGATTCGTTCTGTGTACCGTCTAGGCTCTCGGGTATCTCTCAGAGAAAAGTTTAAGGAGACTGGTATCATGACTGTGGCATCACAGTACATTTACTCAAATATTTTATATGCCCGTAAAAATATACATAATTTCAATAAGAAAGAAGATATCCATAATATTAACCTTAGAGCTAAGTCCAAACTCATGGTACCACGATTTCGTTTAACCAAGGTAAACAACTCTTTTATGGGGAACTGTATACGTTTTTACAATAACATTCCGGAGCATATATTAAGTTTATCATTTCCTAAGTTTAGAAACTACATTAAAAATATTTTGATCGAAAAATCATATTACAAAATTGAAGACTACGTGTTAGATAAAGATGTATGGAAAGACGACATGGCTCCAGAATCCACACAAATTTGATTCAAAGCGTATTCCATAGCATTTAAGTTTATTTGAAAAGAGCAATCCCTAGAGTTTCTTGCTCGTTCTTCTCAGGGAGGTCAGCGTAGTGAACGAGCAGTAGCTTAAATGTGACGTTTTCAAGTGTAAATTTATTTTACCTATGGAATAAATAATCTTTGACTTTGACTTTGACTTTGACTTTGATTTATAAGTTCCGTGTAGATATACTCGTAGTTAGAATGTCAATGCACTTTTAATTAAAATGGGTGGGATTTCATCGATGCCGCAACTACATTTGTTTATCAAATTTTTGATGATAGAACAAACTTCTCGTCCCTCTACCGGTGGCAAATAGAGGGAATTTACGACCGGGTCCAAAGCTTTTTTAGTTGATTGGCGATTTTGATAGGACTCAGGTGAGATTTGTTTGGGGTTGAGGTCAGAGGGTTGAGATTTTAATATCGAGTCTCGATTTCACTGATCGTGTGAACCAGGATGGCCTGGTTCATGAAGTTAGACATGTTTCATTCTAATATAATAGTAATGAACCTTAACGCTTCATCTTGTTAAAGTTTCAGTATTCCTAGTGACGTACGAGAAAGATAAAATGTCAATTGATCGATTCGAGTGCAATCGGCTTCCGTACTTTGGACTTAGAAAACAGTAGGTACTGGCGGTATTTATAGTAGATATCTTATCTCGTATATTACAACATCAAAATAAATAATCAAATAAGTAATACACGCGAGTTCAGACTTTAACATACTTTGATATATGAATGAGAGAGATAAGAAGATCCGCTTGTAATTGATTTTTTTCCACGGGTTGATTGCGAAATCTGTTTTCGGTATCAGTATAATCGATCTGTTGTGACTTTTTTTGATGCCGACTCCTCTGTATACGGCCGGAATTTTAGACGATGGGTTCCTGGACTAATAAAGAATCTCTATTCTTTGCTTAATGCTTAATGCTCTTCTTTTACAATATTTTTAAGATTACTTTTTAAGAGTTGTTATATTTTCACTGAATTGCGCTATACTTTTTTTAAATATTACAAAGGAAGAAGTGTTAGTTCGTTTTCATCAGACTTGCTTCTAAATAGTAGTACTATGACGTGCAGAAAATCTAGGCGGTATTTTTATGATACGACCCTGGGGCGGTCATAGTATATTTTTAAATTTACTATGCTCCCACCGCTGTCCTGCTAGGGGCGCAGACAAACTGCTTCTTCTGGTTGGGCCAGATTCGCGCTGCGACTGCGACCCAGGCTGCAGTCGACTTTTTTATTTTATTAATTAAATCTAATAGAGACACATTGTGTACTTAAGTTTTCGCGACGATTGCTACACATCGGAAATTAAACTATTTGGGTACTATACTATACTATGGCATAGCTAAATTGAAATGTTTTGTTTTATTCATAAGTTCAAATACAAAGAAGGAAAAGACTTAAAGATAAAAATTAAAATATTTATATTTATCTATAATATTATATCGTCTAATTAGTGGCCTTCTAATATTACTTCTAATATTTACTAATTCTAATTATTTACTTCTAATATTTGGCCGTCTAATATTATATCGTCTAATTAGTGGCCTTATACCGTTATACCTGTGGTGCCACTACAATGGACTATAAATCGTCTTATGTAACGGTTTCTGAATCTGGTATTCAGAAATTATAATTATTCTGAATATGGCGCCATCCATATAGAGACCGGGACTGAGGGAGTACATTTAGCTAAACTAAAGAAAACGCAGACATTCCCTTCTACAAACCCCGAGACTTCTCGGAACGGGAGTAGCTCGTTCTCCGTCCGACATCAGTCCGAAACAATTACAGTCAAATAAGTAATACCCGACCCAATGTCAAGCATGAAGCTTCATTCGCAATACTGGTGTATTACTTACATGACTGTCATAATTTCGGACGAATGTAGTGGTAGTAGAAGGGGGCCTTTTTTTTTTTTTTTTTTTTTTTGACAGGGGGAAAGCTATTACTACATTGTATTTGAATATGGGTATTATTTATTGAAATATGAGTACATTGGCGACAAATTATTGTTTAAAATAATGTATTTAAATACTTTAGCCATTTAAAAGATAAACATGAGACGACCTATACTTCGGGAAGTGCAGAAAGTAAACAGTAAAAATGAAATTTTGTGCACATTAATGACGAAATGGGTATGTAAATGTTAATACGTTCATACTTTAGGTAAATTAACTAAACTTTAGGTAATTAATAAACGCGCAGGAGTTGTTCAAGCGCTGGAGTGGACGAGTGCGACTTACCCTTGCCCGTGTTGCCTGCGACGAGCATGCAGTCGCTCGTGCCTTCGCGCGCCAGGATCTGCACAGCAGAATCGTTTCGATTACATACAAGACATTCGCGAAACCCACGCGATTTGCGGCCTTGGGTCTGCTCCGGCTTTAGGATAGCGGCAAATTACCGCTGGGCACGTCCTAGCCCTCGGCGCAGATATAGCAGCGGGGCGGCGAATCTAACCGTGAAGACATCCTTGACGGTGTAGGCCTTGTACCAGCGGTGCCTGTCCCCCCGCAGCGCCACGACGCCGGCGGCCGCGGCGGCCGCGGCGCCCGCGCCGATGACGCACCAGTCGCCGGGCGCGCAGCCGCGGGACAGGTCCTCCACGTCGGGGAGGCCCGGGGCGCGGGCGGCGCGGGCGGCCAGGCCGGGGTCGGCGTCGCCGGCGAAGGACTTGAAGGCGTCGAGGATGGGCCGGTAGCCGGTGCAGCGGCACACGTGGCCGCCGAACGAGCGCTCCACCTCCGCGGCGCTCAGCTTGCGGCCCGCGCGCTCGTACAAGCTGCGGACACGGCTCCTCGTTGCCGGCTCCGTCCTCGCCACGGGCGTGCGAAGGGCGGTTGCCGTTTTTGCCAAATATGTAGCGTGCGTTGAAGAAATGTTACCTCTCGGAACGAGTAAGGGGAGATGAGAATAGAAATCTCGCTGCCTATTTACACCGAAACTTGCCACTAATGCTTGTGCACGACTCGCGTTGATTGTGAGTAGTGAAGATTTAATACTATTCAGTTCATCTAGCGACAAACGGCAGAAGTAACGTGTCCCGCCATTGACTTACAATTATATGGACGTCGGGTCCGCGCTAAAAAGTGTCCGCACTTGTAAGGCGCTAAAATCGTATACAGAGCGCGACACTCCGCTTTAGTCTTCATTTGTTCTACGGACAGCGCGATACTGCGATGACATAACAATTTAAATTTCGAATAGGTTGACTTGGGACATTTTTTTCGTGGTTTTTGTATTAGACCCGTCGTCCATTTATTTGTAGTCAATGTGTCCCGCACATTATTATTATTAAATATGTTTACGGAAGAAGAATCAGATGAAACCATCGTTTTTTAAATCGCAAATCGTGCGTACCCCACAATCTCACGGTTCATTCATTATGAATATAATCATTGCGAGATCGCGCGAGAAATCGTGTTTCCAGTGCAGAATATAATACTCTATGCGGGCAGCAATACGGTTCAATATTACATCCACAAATATTTCAATTCTCGCCCAGCCCATCCTCGGCAATCCAGAATGTTTCCACCGAAGATAGACTAGGAAAGAATTGAAATTTTGTTATTCCAATTTCAACCCTCGTCTCGCCTCGTCGGTGGAAAACCACCTTGAAACCACTACCGCTTCTTCATACGAGTCATAAATACTTTTTGTAAATCCGATCGTTTATTCTTTTAAACTTTAAGCACTTCGTAAAATACCAACTGCCGACTCTTTTCGTAATAATTCAACAAAGTTAGTACCGCATAAAGACCATCAAGTCAAGAATAAAATTGTTTAAACTATTTGTTTTCAATAAACATCAGTATACATTGATGGCACGTGCGTTACCAAGACGGCTCACTCTTTTGTCCTATTGTAAGTACTCTAAAAATGATGCGATAAGACGAATCGGTGCAAATAATATTTCACCAACTTATACAAACTAGACACGAGCCGAAGAACAGCGGCCTTGCCGTGAATTCTTATTACGATTCAGGTTAGGACCTAAAATGAACCGTTGTGAGATAGCGCTACATGAAGTGTACCTATATCCCGCTTTTTTGTCGCTACGAACCTATACTGAACTGTAATAACAGGTCATGGTAAGGCCCCAGGACGCGTGTCTTCCGGGGAATTCGTCTCGAGAATACCCGGAGGCAACGTATAGTATTTAGTTGCGTTATTAATTCATTATATAGAATTCGCTATATACAATTCCGTTACAAAAATTAGCACATCCACAAATGCATGCGCGCGTAACTGCTCGCGTTTGGCGATAACAATACCGACCAATTGATTGAATGCACCGTTTAGACTTTGTTTAGTTTGGGTGTCCGTCATGACCAATGTTCGGAAAAAGATGTTCCACATTTACAGATACATGTATAGAAATATCTACAAGGAGCGACATCAAGGAGTTATTAAGACCACCAAATATTAATTAATTACTTTTTCGAATTCCGGATTTCCGGAAATGGTTTTACTGCATTGTAGGACAAAACTACTGACCTAAAAAGTCGTAAGTAATTCTAATGATGCCATGTAAAATTGTTGTTGCTGTTCCGTCAATATGCGGGGCGCGGTGCAGTATCTAAAGCTAGGGAGGGGCGGAGAGTGACCGTTTTCGTTACTCTTTTATTCTCTGCTTTGGTAAAAGACTGACTTTCTATGTGGAACATCTTTTTCCGCCCATTGGTCTTGACCTAGCTATGAAACAACCCACCTGTACATGCCCATGACCCAGCCGGGCGAACAGTAGCCGCATTGCGTGCCGTTGAAGGCGGCCAGCCGCGCCTGCAACGGGTGGTAGCCGACGCGTCTGTTGCCCAGACCCTCGATGGTTGTGATCTCCCACTGGTGGCACGATAGGACGTGCACTAAGCACTGAAACGGTAATTAAATACTAATTATTATAGAGTCTGTGTGTGCGCGTTTGCGCGTGTGTGAAAAAAGTTACGTGTATAGGTACCGAGTTAACAGAAAAGATTTCTTTCTCCTTGGAAACTGGGTGAGTGTGGGCGACGGCCACGACGCAGGCGCCACAGCCGCCCTCGTGGCACATGGCCTTCGTGCCGAACAGGTGCAGGTGATCGCGCAGGAACTCGTTCAGCGTCGTCTCCGGGCTCACCTCGCTACCCGCTGGCAATATTGCATACACACACATAAGTATAACACAATCACCTGAACGAAACAGAGTGCCGCGAGCATACTTTAACAATCAACTAATCAAAACACACATTCAGTAACATGGCTGACCGATAACTTGTATCCAAGGTCGTGATTTGATCATTTCCTCCGAAATTAAGTAGGTACTTTCAAAATTCGATGCGCTCATAAGATTTAGGAATACTATGACCGTAGGAAAAATAATGGATGAGTAATGAAAAACAGTAATTGTGCAAGGTATCTCTGAGCACCAGCACGGTTTCCTGAGGGGTCGATCTTACGGTCTCCAATTTGGCCTATCTTACGGATTTTGTACTGTGTGGTATAGAGGGGGGTGGCACAGACTTCGAGATGTTATTTGATCGAGTAAATCACGATATTCTTTTGAAAAAGTTCAGTGTGCTAGGTAGACATGGCAATTTGCTCAGATGGATAGTCTTGTCTTTCCAACCGGCCTCAAGCGTTAGTTTTGGGAGGATACAGGTCTGACTATTGATGTATCGTCTGGAATTCCGCAAGGAGATCCTTGCGGAACGGCATCTCGGTCCGCTATTCTACAATGCGTACATATTTGGCATACGTATACAAATGTATATCGCATTCGAGGCACTTACTATGCGCCGATGACAGAAAGATATACATAAAAACTTCATCTGTTATGGATTGTGCACTTTCGCAACAAGATTTAAACAATCTCTACACAGAAAAAAAGGATTTCTACTAATAAGAAAGAGCAATTTCTCAAAATATTTGCTAATTCTGAAAAAATATTTATTAAAAGTAATAAAATATTGTCACTACAAAAATACTGCTTATCTTTTTCTAATACAATTTTACTCTTAACTTTATTCTAACTTTGAGACAAATACGTTCACTTCAAGATTTTATTTCATTTTTAATCAATTAATTGGACATTACTTATATCAAGAAATTTTTACCTCTTACATCAAATTTAAATAATCTTAAATGAATTCAAAATTTCTTGGGTGTATTTTAAGAAAATATATTCATAAACAAAAAAAGAAGTAGTTTTCTATTCAGATTAATATTCTGAATTCTAGAGTATATTCTTAAAGCAACATTTCGTTGCGTTTTCATAGTCAATCTTGTCGTGACCTTAGAATGTCGTGACATGTCGCCGAAGGCGCACGCGGTAACGATTACTTTTACTTGTGCTTGTAATCATAAAAATCATAAACAGTCATTTATCCAAAGAAACAATACGTAGTATCTCTAGTTTGTTAGGGTGTTCTTTATAGTCATAATTCAAGAAATTTGGTTACAGCATGAAATCAAACTATATACACTTGTAACAAGCATAACATGCAATTAGTTCCATCACGCCACTGCTAGATGGCATTAGATGTACTCTGAAACGCGCTATCGTTTTGTTAACTTCAATAGTATAAAGTCATCTCATATATTTAGAATTGTTAGTACTTTCTGCCGCTGTAGCATTTATACGGCACTGGATGGTCCTCAAGTATTTGAGAGGATTCCATATTTCCATCCTATTTCTGCTACTTTAAGGTTTGGCACTGTTGGGTCCATAACCCTGTAAATTTATCCTTTTTGATATTAGAAAACATAAATCTTCAGTCAAAGTAACTCTCAATTTTTCATTCTTTTTTTTTTCAAATCAAAATCGGACATTTCTAGTAACAAATAAATATTTTGTTGAATCTAGAGTGGCTTTGTGACTTGAAGTAAATTAATTTGCTCTTGGATTAAATATTTTTGTCTTGTAACGAAAATACACTTTTGAGACGTTTTTTTACTATTATCAAGTAATTATTCTCTAGCGTCTATAGGGAGAGAATCGTTTTGTTGGATTTAATGAATTTGTCTTCATAAAAAGAATTTTGTCTTTTTCTAAGTAATCTGTTTTTACCGTGTATAAGTATTACATTGAAAACAACATTATCATCAATATTAGTAAGTGTCAACCTATTAGTTTCACCATAGAAGCAAATTACTTATTTTTCCTTATAATTTTAATGGAGTCTTGATTGACAGAGATAACGAAGTCCGAGACCTAGGTGTCCTGCTTGATTCTAAGATGTCCAAGTCCGGGCATCATTCGCATCCACATGGATGCGATTACTAGCAGGGCGAACCGTAATTTAGGGTTTACGATGCGCACATGTCACTCAGGAACTTGACTAGTTACAATGTAGTATATTTCGCTTACGTGAGATGTATATTGGAATATGCCTGTCCGATTTGGTCGTCACCATCCTATGCTGTACACGTAAAACGCATTAAGCGTATTCAGTGAAAAATGTTAACGTACTTAAATTATACATTCTCTAGTACTACTGGGTAATACGTCGAAAACTGCAGACATTATGGACTGCTGACTCTGGAAGAAAGGCGTATGGTGATGGACATGGGTCTTCTTTTTGACATGCTACGAGGGCGGCTCGATTGCCCTGAACTCCTATCAAAGATCTCACTGTCCACACCGAAGCGCAGGACCAGGCATACATCACTATTTTCTGTTCCTATTCATTCTACAAATAATAGTAATAATAATATTAACGCATACACTCAACATAGCCCCGCACGCAGGTGCCATGGACACACATATAGACAACCACAAATTACACCCAAACTTACGAGAGAAACAAATGTAGGCCATACAAATATTTCTCTCGGCCCGGGAATCGAACCTGTCACCTCTGCGTTGTAGTCAGGCATGGTAACCGTTCGGCCACGGAGGCAGTAAATTAATTAATTAATTATGGCATTAATAGTGTCGTAACGCGAACCATGCGTGCTTTTAATCAAAAATGTTATGGGCTGGATCCGTTTGTAGGATCTAAGCACACTTTTAAAAGGAAATTGGAAACAATCTTATTCGAAAATATTTCAAATTAACTGAAATTTATATTTGAATACAGTGGGGTGTACCACTTACAGAATTAGATAGCCAGATAGATAGATAGATAAACACTCTATTCACTGATATAACACAAATACAGATTAAGCATAAAAGAAAAAGCAAAACATGATTGTCATAGCAGTGAAACGGCGCTGCCTATTATATTATATGCCAGTTTCCTAAGGCGCTGATTTTTATTCAGGCCCAACAAGAGGGATTAAGTTGTTTGAAAGCAAAAATATAAAGACTATGCGTAAAGTTATGCATTGACAATAATAATATACATTATAAAGAGTAAATAGTTCATCTAAAATAACCTGTTTGACATGTAAGTGCATGAGCCAATGTGAATCAGGTGGAGTGCCTGTCAAGTATAAAAAAAAAAAAAAAGAATATAATTACAGGAGTAAGTTGTGACTGTAAAGAGGTTTTAATGCTGTATAATGTATTTAGTATATAACATAATTATATACATAATGTGAATAGATCAAAGCAACAACAAATTTCGATTCTAGACAGAGTACGTAAAAGAATAAAAAAACACTACACAGATTTTTGAATTGAGAGGTATTGCCGGTTTAGTGCTTTGAATATGGGTTTGGATGTCTCGTTGCATATACATAGGTGGAGGAATATTATTCCAGCATTTGAGGCCGAGTATTTGAAACTACCTCGAAAATCTGCAGTTCTATATTGTGGTACCATAGCAACACAAGATCGGACAGATCGCTCTCTGTAGCGTACATTAACACTAGATGATCACATGCCCATGTCAACAGGACTCAGATCTGACACCAGGCAAGCACCATTGGATTTCGACAATTTTACTTGTTGCGTGCGATTAGTAAGGTAACTCCCGAACCATTCCAAAGCCGATGAGTCGCAACCGCAGTATTTTAATTTTGAAATAAGTAAAGGAATATTAATGGACTCGAAGGCTGTGGAAACGTCCAAAAGTACTAGAGTTGTTCCTTTGCCAGAATCCTGAGCACTGAGAACTTCGTCTATGACGTCTTGCAAGGTTGTATTTGTACTGCGCCCCTTCTGAAACCGGACTGTATCATAGGCAGGATATTGTTTGCCTCTAAGAATTGGTTTATTTTTCTTGTTCCGTGTCTTTTTATTTAATAACTTTTTTTTAATGCACGCTTTTTTGTAGGTCAGGATTGCACAACTTCACATCGCTTTACCTTTTTTCTATGCCTATAATAATAATAATAATTATAATAAGAATAATAATAATAATAATACTTTATTTTGGACCAACAACAATTATCCATAGTTTGTTAGTAAAGAACTTAGGAGTAAGGTTAGAATGCTAAAATTAAAATAAAATAAGATAATATTAAAATAAAAATTATACAATTAAAATTCAAAAAATATACAACCACGAATAAATTATTGTAGATATTTTTGTGTTTGTTTTTTTTTTCTTTTTGAGGTGTTACCTTACTTACCTTAGTTTTACCATAAGTTAGATATTTGAAAACGAAAATGTGGACAACTGTTATTGGCGCTAACTAGCTTTACCCAAAAACATTCAATGTAAATCGTTATTAATAGCTGTTGTTGTTCCGATTAAAATAAAAATAAAAAGTAAAAACCAGAATACCAATGTAATTAGTAAGAAACTCGAAATCTGGTACACATCTACACATAATAACGCATACACACTCAACATAGCCCCGCACTAGGGAAACCCTGTCTTGCGGGTGCCATGGACACAAACATAGACAACCACAGATTACAGATGGTAATCGTTCGGTCACGAAGGCAGTCATACTTACTACTCATACTGAGTCATGCTTACTACGCAGACATACTTCTACAAACACGCAGGCAGACAGACAGGCACGCACGCACGCACGGATGCACCTGTATGCCTTAAGAACTCACAACTGATGTTGCAGTCATACTGTGTCATTACGGAAACCATATGAAAAGGGCCTTATAATGAAGTATAAACTAGAATTCTTGCGAATATCAGCATCCGCATCCGCGGGTAATCAGCATAAATTATAATATCCGTAACAGCATTCCTCGATGCTGATATTCATTGCGGAAGTTCGAGTCGTGGCATGACCTAAAA